CAAACCAGTTTCAGAAAATGATCCAGAAAAAATTTATGGTGTAATTCCATACATGGCACCTGAGACATTGAGTGAAGAAAAAACACTCAAGCATCTGAAATTTATTCTTTTGGTATGGTTATGTATGGAGTTCTACCTAGTTATCCACCATATTACAATATTCCACATAATGAAAAACTTGCAATGGGCATTTGTGAAGGGCTTAAACCTGAAATTAAGTGTGAAATTCCTCAATTTCTCAAAGAAATAATGGAAAGATGCTGGAATTCTGAACCTTTCAATCGTCCAACTACTGAAGAATTGAAATCTGAACTTGATAAATATCTTTCTGAGGATAATGAAATGAGAAAACAAGTAAACAAACAAGTTAATGCAGCAAATAAATCAAACATGAATTTTATTCAATATGATCCTAATGAAATGCATCCTGAAGCAATTTATACAAGCAGACATTTGTCTTTTCTGAAATCCAAGAAATTTGAAACTAATACACATGGTAATTATTTATATTTTTTAGAAATACATTTTTATATAAAATATTTACATTAATTATTATTTAGATACAAAACAATTGAATTTTGGAATTCCTAATATAAATATAAGTGAGTATAGAATTTCTTGAATAATTTGCTTAATAATTTATCTAAATGAAACTAAAATTTTTAAATTTTGTATAGTTAAAGAAAATGAAATTCTGGAAATGGAATATAAATATGATATTGGAACAACAAAAGATGCAATCCATCAGTACACGAAATCAGTTAAAAGTGGAAATAGTAATATTAAGGATAGTATAGATGAAATAAATAAATGTTTGAGAAAACAAACAGCAACTAGTGTTATTGCTGATAGAGATTACTTCAACTGTATTCAGTTCACGAAGCCCCAAATTACCATTAATGAGTTGAATATTTGGGGTGAATCGTTTGATTCAAATACTTCAAATTTCCTTTCCATAGAATCAAATGTATATTTTGGAACTTCAGCTGCTTCACATGCTAAAGTTGAAAAGATAATTAAATTATTTAAGGAAAAAAAAAAAGAAATTGATAAGGAGTTTGAATCGCAACCTGCATGGTTTATAGGACTTGATTTCCATAAAAGTTCCTCTATGCCACATATTTCTTGTTTGTCTACCACACCACTTGATATATTAATTTTGAAAAAGCTTGAAAGATTATTTGATAATGAGTTTGAAATCGTGAGTCATGTGATAGCTCCTACAAACGATGAAGACATAAGTGATGAAACAGCTAGTTATGACAACAGTAATGACAACAACAACAACAGTAATGATGATAGCAACAGAAATGACAACAACAACAACAATAATGATGATAGCAACAGCAATAACAATATCAACAACAATAACAACAGCAATAATAACAACAATAACAATAACCATAATAATAATAATAATTACAACAGCAACAATAATAACAATAATAACAATGATAATAATCACAATAACAATAATAATAACAACAACATTAATAATAATTATAATAGTGATAATAATAACATTAATCATTTTCAAGTCTCATCCGGAGTAAAAGCAAAAGCTGTAGGTGAAAAAGGTGAAAATTTATTAAATGTCTTCCAAGATTTTAATATTTCAGCTTATATCCATGCAAAGGTTGATCCTCTTCCTAATAAAAGAAGTAGTTTAAAATTTTCTATAGATGTGAATGATTGCAGAATGGGGCCAATGCTTAGTGATAAGTGGCGATCACTTTGTAAATTAGGTTATGGTTATTTTCTTGACTCTGTTGAAATTTGGGTCATTCCAATTGAAGATGAATCCATGCCTAACAAACTCTTATATGAATTGAAAGAAGGTCCTTGGCCACAACAATTTAATACTGACGTTGATATTTCTAAAGTTAATGAATATAATAATAATATCAGTGCATCAATTAATAAAGATCCCGGGGTTACATTAAGCCACACTAGAAAAAATGGACAAGAAATTAAGTTTGCAACAAAGGAATGGGCATTGACAGTTGATGGCAGTTGTAGTACTGGATTGGGTTGGATATACCAATACACTGCTGAAGACCTTAATCGTAGAAGGAATTTTGCCCCTGGAAAACATTCCTGTTACTGGGAAACCTTAAAATCAATGAGTGGATTTCAAATTACTATTAAGCAGGTGATATGCTGCAAAATTACTGATGGTTGGCGAAAGTTAAAACCATATACAAAATCAAAATTGATGCAACTATGTCCCAAGATGTCTCATACTATTAAAATGACTTTTAATAATCTTAAAACCTTTAATGAAGATTTTGAAAATCTTATGAAATCTAAAGAATCTCATGAAGATCTTATTAATGTTGCTTTAAAAAAAAAATCACCACCAAAAGTAGATCCAAATGTAAGAAATGTTAACTTTGAGCGCTCAGTCAAAGTAATGACTCAAATTACCAATCCAGATTCAATCCAGTAATCTGATTGACCAAATCTAATTATCAATTCAATCCTGTTTGTAAAGATATAAATTGCTTGCGAGTCTTATTAGATAGATACAAGACATGAATTTGTCCAATCTACCTTGTGTGAGGTAGATTGAAATTTTATTAATAATAATATTTTTTTATTTAGCTATATTTAATTATAAATTAACCAGCTTATATTCTATTTATTTCTTTTATAATTTCATTTATTTTATTTATTTTCATTTATATTTGTCATATTTTATTTACGACTTGAATAGTTGATGGGACTATTTATCTCTTTTTCTTTTTTGTCCGATTAATAATATTAATAATCGTAAGTGTGAAATTGCCATATAATTAATCATAAAGATAATTTTATGATTCACAAATAATTACATATTGTAAGAAGGATGGAATTCTTATAAATAAAATATTTTTACTTTAAATATTTTCATTCAGAAAAAAAATACAATTTTCAAAATGATTTGTAATAAATTCGTGAATTGAGCAATTTCTAAAAATAATATATTTCTTTAGTCTGAAATAGAATGCTCTATAAAATTAAAGTTTTATTAATATTAATTCTTTCATTAATTTTTTATAAATTTTCTCGTTTGATGATAAATCAGTACGATTCTTATTTTTTTAATCCAGAAGTTTAATAATTTAATAAAAGATTTTTGTAAAACAATATGCATTGATATCTCATAAATTTAAAATTTCATATAACTCTATTATAATAGTTCATTTCTTTTTAATATATTTTATAGAATACGAAGTAGCACTTCTAGATTACTAATCAATTCAGATCAATTCTTGCCTCAGATGACATATTTATTTATTCGCGATAAAGTTTTGGTTACTTATTTTTATTCAATAAAGATTTTCTCTAAAATATGAAATATGTCAAATTCCAAATTTCATGGATTTATTCCTTAGTTTTTATTATTTTTTAATTTGATTTTTTCTTTAATAGACTTGAATGATCTTGTTTTTGAAATTTGTGTAGTCTTTTGTATTCTCATGCAGGCAAATAATGTTGCATTTTTATAAAAACATGAAATAATAAAACTCATTTGTGTGTATTATAATATGAAGGTCAACATATTAAGGATATTAAATGTTTAAACTGTAAATTAATACTCTTTAAATTAATATATTTGAATTTTCTAATTATCTCAATTTATCATTATTAATTTTTTTTTTATAATTTTAAAGAAACGAGATTAAAAAACTTTTCACTCAAGTTTGGATCCTTCAAATTTCAACTCATATAATAAAACTAATTTTTTATTATTTTTTATTGAATAGAATTATCAAATCATACACCTAAACTAACTAAAAATCTACTTTGAAAGGTAAATTTAAATAAAAGATAAAAATATTAAAATTAAAAAAAAAAAAAAAAAAACTTTCGATGATTGAATAAAATTATGGATTGTTTGAATCGCGAATGAACCAAAAACAATGTTACAGACAATTTCACTGCCGAACAAAATAAAAAATAAACAGTGTTATCATATTATCAGGCATTATATTATCAGTTATTCAGCATTTTCTACCGAATAACTAAGTCACCTATATGTTTCTTTGATAATTAATCTTCTGTACATCTTTCTTTCGAAAGTTCTTTATTATTTATTATATTATTTGAATCAACTATTATAAAAAAGTGATATAATTAACATGAATAATTAATTATGCTAATAATCATTTTTAATTGCTGATTCGCCACTTGGCAAAACCAAATTGCCTGAAATGTTTATTGAAAATGAATTTCTTTATTCAAGTATTTAATATAATTTTTACTGAGAAAAATTTTGCAAAAATTGCCAATTAGTCACTATTTAATAATAAAATATTAACGAGAAGCTCGAAATTAATATATAAACACTTTTAAACATATATTAATAGATTTTAAAAAGTAATTAACAGCTTTAAACTCTACAAAAAAAAAAAATTTTTTTTCAATAGATTAAGATTTTGAAACTTGTGATCAAAAAATTCTTTATAACTATATTGGGAACATTTAATATTTATATTTAATATTAGCTTTAATAAAATAAAATCAAGCCCAAGTATAATTTTGATTTAAAAATTACGTTTATCAGGTGATTTTGCAAATTATTACGTAGAGAAAAAGGTTGAAGTAAAATTTATTGTCCGAAGGAAATTATTCATATAAATTATAAAAAAAAATTCCTCAGTCATTCAAAGAAATAATGGAATTTTAAACTTCTTAAGCTGAAGAATTTAAAATTCAACTTGATAAATATTATTCTGATATATATAAGAAATCAATTTAGATGAGTCCAATAAGAATTTTATCTAAATGATATTTATTTATTATTTAATACTTTTACAAAAAATAAAAAAATTAGTGAATTTTTATGATAAAATGCATTTGCGCTTTACTAATAAAGACATTTCAGTATGCAACAACGACAACATCAGAAATTTTATTGAATTCTTTAATAAACTACAATATTAAATAAATAAAAGTATTGTACTGTATATAATAAATGTCGAGATTTAATTGATCCAAAACCATAATACAACATATAATTACATAAAGTTCATAAAGGTTGTAAGATTGCGCATACTTTCGCTGCCGCATAAGAATTAACGTTTTACAATAATAAATAAATAATAATTAAAAGATTTTAACTTTTGGAAATTCTTTCTTTATATTTTTGCAAATTTTCTTGCGCCTATCAAATAGTATCAAAATTAACACAAATAACATATTATGTATGCACCCATATATATACATATATATTATATATATATCAATGTAGAGAGATAGGTTTAGATTATTATAATAAATAAATTTTTAATTGAATAAATAAATAAGAAAAAATATTCTTTTACCTCAGATAAGGCTTTAGGTGACAATACAGGTAATCTTGTTCCATCTTGTGGAATAATTTCATATCTAATAGGTGTTTCCTAAATTATTGATATTGAAACAAATAAATATATTTTTTAAATGAATATATTTTAATATAAATGTTATAAATCGAAAATAATAATAATAATAATAATAATACCAGAATAGGCGGACATAAGTCAATTGGCAAATATCTTCCATAATTCCCGAAAAATGAATCACGCTGTTGCATTTCTTCTAAAAATATCAATAAAAATTTCGAATAAGATATTATAAAAATATAGAAAATCAACAATTAAATGTAATTAAATTAAATTTAATTAAATGTAATTAACATAATTAAAAAAAGTTGTATTTAATATACGAACCAATATATAATCCTTCCAATTTATTTAAATATTCTTCCGCCATTTTTTCATGTTGTTCTTTTACTTTATGACGTCTATCTATTTCTATTATCATATGATCATAAGCTTTAGAAAATTCTTCATACCTAAATAAATAAAATATGATATTTAATCGTTGTTTAATAGACAATAAAATCATAAAAAGTAAACAAATGCTTAAAAAAAAAAATAAATTACCATAAATTTAGATTTAATAATTCATCTAATAATCGATCCACCATAGCTGAATCTTTCTCAAAATGTGTCTACACATAATAATAATAATATTAATCTTATTATTGATTAAAGTATTATAAGTAAAATTAATATAAATACTTCTAATTCTTTCAAAATATTTGCATAATTTTCAAAATTATTCGTAAATCCATCTAATTCGTTAAATAATTTATTGGCTTCTTCATATGATGCTTTATAAATATGATTCCTAACTCGAACTTCCTCACTAAAAAAAAAATAAATTAAAAAATAAATTTTAATATTTATTTTTACCACCACGATTTACTTAAGAATTTCAATATTAAATATTTAAAAAAAATTTTTTTTTTGACAGATAAAAATAATAAACATACCTAACGGAATCAATGAACTGAAGTCCTTCCTGTAATTCTTGAACAATCGTTGGAATTATGTCCGTATCTTTCTCCAGAACTATTAAAATAATTCAAGAAAAATAATTCAAAAAAAAAAAAAATTTTAAATTAATTCAAAAAAATAATCATTAAATTTTTACCCGATATATCCAACATTGATTTTGCATTAGAATGTGATTGAAATGCTCTAAATAAAATTTTATAAATTAAAAAATTTACAATAAAAAATAAAATTTTAAAAATTTATATAAATATAAAAATTTAAGACTAAACATACATACTTTAGTGCAGCAGTAACTTGATCATAATGTCTGGCCAAAGATTCCAATGTCTCTGCCATATTTTGAGTTTCTTGTTCAAGAATACTATATTTCTCATGAGAAAAATCTACTCCTGATTCTTCTAGTGAAATATTATTACTCATAAGTATTTCATCTAACTTTTTTAATTCATTATTAATATTTTCAATTATTTTGGAACTAGTATTATAATGTCGCTAGCAATATTTAATAAAATAAAATTTAAATAAAATTAATTAATATTTGATTTGATATAATAATAATATATTACTGATTATTTTTCAATTATTAATAAAATAAAAGAATAAAATAAATAAATTAAAAAAAAATACCTGAATTGCCATAACTTCTTCTTGAGTTTTTAACTTTAACTCTTGAATCCCTTGTTCTTCTACATAATCATATAATGAAACTTTTTCTGAAATGTCCTTTAATTTATTATTATTATCTTTGATATCAAAATCTAATCCTAATTCCACTCCCAACGTATTACTGTTATTCCCCCTATTTAATTGTTCTATGACAATTGCATTCTCTCGAATTGTTGAATCTACATACTTTACATGTAATCCATCTAATGTCGAATCAAGTTTTTCAATTATCGTCGAAAGTTCTTGCTCTTTATTCTATTAAAAATATATATATATATATATATTTATTTATAATAAATAAAATTATATTTTACATTATAATCATCTTATATAATTTTATTATTATTATTTTAATAAAATTTTCTCCTACATCATAAAATTGTAGTAAAATTCCATTTTGTTTTGCTGCAAATTCTCCAAGTTTTTCGATAGCCTATGAATAAAAAAAATAAAATAAATTAATTTATTTAATTTTATTAGGTTAGGTCAAAGAATTTGTTTAAATAAATAAATAAATATATATATGAAACGTACCTGAACTTGACATTCTAATTCACTCCATAAAAATCTAAGTTTCGGATATAATTTTTCAATATTTTCAACGTCACTTCGACATTCCTTCATAACATTTTCTGCTTTCGAACATAATTTTCCACCAAGTTGTAAGGCTTTATGTGAAGTTGAAGTAAGATTTATTAATTTTTGTTCCATTATATTATTATATTATTATTATTATTATTATTTTAAATTTAAGTTAATCAATAATTTGAATTTTATTATTTTTATTTTTATTTCTGAATTTTAAAATTTATTATTTATCGAAGTTATATTTTATTTTAAAAAAGTGTTGGAGATAACAGCGGCATTTACTATTATAGTGTAGTACATGATTTTTTATACATATGTCATCCGCATTTTGACCTAAAAATATATTTGAATTTTATTTATACTTTTTGAACTGATTTTTATTTTTAGATTGAAAATCAACTTTGGTGAATCGAATTGACAAATCAGAATATACTGAAGTTTAAGGAACAAAGTGAGAATTTTCCTATTGAACTTACAGATATTCATAAATGTTCTTACAAAAAAAAAAAAGATCTTATTCAATCTAGAAAATTCGTAGAAATATATTTTCGTAACTATCTTGAAGAATGGTATAATACAATGTCACGAGGTCATGTAAATTAAAAAATTACAATAACAGTTGTTAGTAAAGCGAAAACGTATTATTTCTATTTTTTTCCAGAATTCTTTTTTAATTTTTTCAAGAAATAATCTTTTAAATGAATAAAAATTGCACATACAGTATATATGTATTATTTTTTTTTATATGTTATTGATTTATAATATAACCACGTGTATATTCAGAAGATCTATAAACAACTTTGCTTGTTACTATAATAAAACTTGCATTGACATAAAACGAATTTGGAAATTTTTTTTTTTTTTTTTTTTTTAATAATTGCTTCTGGGATAACTTAGTTTTTTTTCAGAAGATCCGAGTCCCGTTATAATCGAGTTAATCAATAACTTGTTTTAATTTTAATTTTTTCATATATATTTCTCAAACCATTTATATCTCTTTCAAGTTATTTTTCCTCCAAACTGAGTATAAATATTTAGATAAATAAAAAAAAAATCATAAAATTCATCAATATATAAATATTATAAATGTTTACAATTCTGGTTCAAAATTAATTTAGTAATACAACTTTATTAATAGACCCACAAGATGAGAAATGTGGCAACTCTTATTATTTTCCAAAATTTGACAAACATAAATTTTGACATTGTTTTTTTTTATTGTTGTTCCAATAATATAATTGTCAAATTTCATATGTTGAAATTGAAGTGCATATTACAATGCTGAATAAAAAAAGAGATTGCATAGAGACATGTAAGATGATGATTCCCAAAAATATGTAGATTGATGGATTATAAAAAAAATTTACAAGAATTTATACAAAAAAAAGCAATTATTTTCGTTAAAATAAATCGACAACATAAGAGATGTTCGATTTGGAGAAAAAAAAAGGTTCGTCTCAAACGAAAAGAATCCAATAAAATTCGAATCACAGGATACGGAGATAGCTTCGTGTAACACGAAATATAGTGTATCAGGTATTATTTTTTCGTAATGATCACATGAGGACTCTCAAAAACATACCTTTTAGAAATAGATATATAATTTATAATTTCGATATTTAATTTCGAACTCAAATTTGCTTTAAATGTCAAATAGATCTTCCGCTTCCTCGATGTCTTTAGAACACAAGCCAAAAATTTCAATAACTTATGGTAGAAAAATTCAAAAAGCAAAATTTTCCAGTCCTTCTTCTTCTTTCAACAACAACAACAACAATAATAATAAAAAAAATAATAATGATAAGTTGACTTCACAACAACAGCAACATGAAGTTAATAATAATTTCTGGACAAAATCGACACCTGGTTTAAACCTTGGTAACGACAACATTAATCCTTATTCCCACTCTTATCCTACTCGAATGCGTACCAGAAATAATTTAATTACTAAAGAAATGTTATCGTCCTCGTCGTCCTCGTCGACGCTGTTGTCGTCATCGTCTTCAAAGTCTTTGGTGGGTAAACGTTCAAACCCCATGACTACCGATGAAGTAACGGGATCATATTCGAAACTTAGCGTAAAAGATAAAGATAAACCTCCACCATCTAAAAAGAGAATTACAGGAAAAATTGCAATTAATAAAATTAATGAATTTGATATAATTGATAATAATAATAATGGTAATGATAAAAATAATGATATCTTTGATTTTCCCGAAGATGATGATGAAGGTGATTTTGTAATTAGGTCGGTTGAAAGAAAATCATCAATATCATTATCATCATCATCAAAGTATCAACAACCAATAAGACAACAAATAAAGCCACAATCGTATCAACAGCAACAAATAAAATCACAAAAACTGAAGCAGCAACAACCTAATAATATTACTACTCTTGATAATTTGGAAATTTTCGATTTTCCAGAAAGTGGTGATGATGATTATAATAAGAATAAGAATATTTCATTTAATAATCCAAAACCGTCATCATCATCATCGTCGTCGTCGTTATTATCTAGAAATAAAAAGAATAGCTTCGAAATTAAAAAGTCCACCATGGTTACTAGCAGTAGTCATAATATTTTTGATTTTTCGGAAAAAGATAAAACGCGTAAACGTAAACAAAAGACGACGGCATCTAAGAGAAAAGCTGAAGATAGTAGCGATAATAATAATAATAATAGTAGTAATAATCATAATACTTTTAATACTTTAAAATCAGTCGACAAGTCAGAAAAATTGGAAAAATCAAAAAAATTACATAAAAGTTTTGATCACTTCGATTTTCTAGATGACAATAATAACAATAATAATAATAATACTATTAACAATAATAATAGAATTAAAATCAAGACGAAAAGAAATAATCCAAAAATTATAGAGTCGCTTGATATTTTTAATTTTCCTTCTGACGATAATTCTTCTAGAGGAGGAGGAGTCGTAGGTGGTGGTAGAGATGTTAGAAATAGAGATAATAAAGATAATAAAGATAATAATAACATTTCATCAAAACAACAATCATCGTCATCAAAGTTAAACTCAAAAAACGCGAATATCTCTTCATCCCCACTTCTTATTAATAAAAATTTAACAACTAATGTTGAAGTTATGACCGCGAGTAAAAAAAAAAATAATAATGATAATTCACCACCTTCGACGCGTCTTTCAAGACTTTTAAGAAGAACTTCAAAGACAAAGGAAACAATTGAAATTTCTGATGTTGGAAAATCTACATCAGAAAAGAAGGACGATGATAATGGTTTTGATTTTGTTAAATATATAGATGAAGATTTAAATAATGATATTATTGGGGATGTTATTGAGGATGTTAGTGAAGGAGGAAAAAGTAAAGTAAAACAAACATCAAAATTAAAACCAAAAAAAACGAGAGTTCACGAAATTCATGAAATTCATGATGAGGTCAAACATTTTGATTTTGATCCAACTCCACCTGACAAATCAACGGCTAATAAATCAACACCTAATAAATCAGCACCTACTCCTAATAAATTAACCCCACCTAATGAATCAACATTAAACCCACCTAACAAATCAACATTAGGTCCACCTAATAAATCTTCTTCCGTTTATTTTAATAATATATACAAAACACCACCACCTCCCAGAATTTCCGAACATCCAATACGTTCAATATCTGAAGTTGGAACACCGATTTCATTCCTTTCATTTCATCGAAAAAAGACAACCGAATCTGTTTGGGATATCGTCGAAACCGGATCATCCCCTATAAATATGTCATCACCGAGTTCTCGGAAACAAAAAAATTTAGTTGCCAATATGTCAAAACCATCTTCTAATCAATCCAAATCACCTTTATCATCATTATCATTTTCTGCCTCTTCTTCTCCTTCCCCATTTTCACCACGGAATAATAATAATAATAATAACTATAATAATAACAACAACAACAACAACAACAATAATAATAATAATCATGAATTTTTTAATTCCAAATCAAAGAAAATGGAATCTACTGAAATTACCACCACCACTACTTCAACCACAATAACGACAATAAATCAAACTCATCAAAATCTTTTATTACCTTATGAAGAAGATCCATCTTTCGATTCACCGTCGTCGTCATTATCATATTATAATTTATCTATGACTGGTGGTGGTAGTGGTGGTGGTGGTGATGGAAGTATTTTGGGAGGTCAAAGAACTTATGGACAAAGGCGTACGATTTTAGGACAAGATTTAGATTCATTGTTATTGGATTCATATTTATCTTCAGGATTAAAGTTTAATGATAATAATGAAAATGGTGAAGATGAGGAGGAAAAAGATTTTAATGAGAAATCGGTAAGAGAGTGGAATAATCATCCATTTTTTTTTTTTTTATCTCGATCATATTGATCATTTCAAATATTTCAAATATTTTAATAATACAAAAAAAAATGAATAATGATTATAATATAATAATATGATTATCATTATTATTATTATTATAAAGATAATTAATCAAAAGAGTCAAGTCAAAAGTTCACATGAATTACGTGAAGTAGGTGAATATACCCGATTTACTGATGAAATGGTATACATTTTGGATGGTCTTCGAAAAAGTCAACCGTTAAATGTTCGCAGAACGAGGTAAAGAATCTTATGCATTCAAAAATCTTAATATATTTCATATGTCACTGAAATTTTTATTTTATTTTATTTTATTTTTTATTTATTTTATTTTTTATTTATTTTATTTTATTTTTTATTTATTTTATTTTTTATTTTTATTTATTTTATTTTTTATTTATTTTTATTTATTTATTTTATTTTGGTAGCTGTATGGAATTGGCACGAAAGTTATTAAATGGAGAATTTTTACTTAAAGTTCGTGCACATAATTTTATTTCCAAAATATATAACAATTTGTCTAAGCATCAAGATTCGGTTAGTAATATTATGATTTTAATAATAATAACGATATTTTTAATTAATTATATATTCTTTAACTATGTTCTAATTAAATTTAACTATTTGTATATATATATATATTTTAATTATAAAGTTTATAAAATATTGCTTTATATTCATCATATGCTTATTAACTGAAGATAAGCATAGTTCAGATTTATTGATTAATGAATCTGGATTTATGGAAATAATTGTGGGTTGCTTAAATTCCCCATTGGATCCTTTTTCTGATGATAATGAATTAAAGAGATCTGAACGTTTATTGGTAAGTTTTTATTATATTATTATGTAATTTAATATGACATATTATGATATAACATGATATAATATATAATATATTATTATTATAATTTAATCTGATCTATAATATGTATTTATTTGAATTGTTTATTTTATAAATAGATCAAAGACATGAAAGAAATCATAAGACGTTCTACAATTTTCAGTTCAAAATCAAAAGTAATTTTCATTTATTATGATAATTATTATTGTTATGATTATCGATTAATTATTATTATTGTTATGATTATTTATTATTATTATTACGATGATTATTTATTATTGTCGTTATCTTTTTAGATTTCACTTAAATCGATAGCACTTCGAATTCTATCATCATTAACATCTTTACGTACACGTTATGAAAATTTGATTAAGAGAGAATTAAAAACCTCGGGAGGTTTAATCTCTGTAATGGGTATTTTAAAAACTGAACTTGAACAGGTGTCAAGATTATTATCAAAAATCGAGAATGGTAAGGTGAGTTAATAAAATAAAATAAAAAAATTCAATGTTCAATTTATATTAATCCATTGCGCGTTCAATAAATAAAATAAATTTTAATTAATTTATTAATTGATTGATCGATTGATTAAATTAATTAAATGATATTAAAAAAGGAATTCGATTCAGTATTGGATCTTGAACGTATAGAACAATGTCTCAGGATCTTAGAATACGCAGCATATTCTTGTGAAGAAAATCAAATCGACATAGTTGAAATGGATGAAGAATTATTACAATTGCTATTGGAATTTCTTTTATATTGTCAACTTGAATCTTATAATGATAATTCTCATATAACTTACTCTGGTAAATTATTATTATTTAATATTATTATTATTTATTATTTTAATATTATAATTATTTAGAATATTAATTTAATAAATATTTTATTTTATTTTTTTTAATATTATTCAAATTTTTTATTAACAAATCTAATTATTAAAAAAAAAAAAAATTAATTAATATAGCGAAGGAATGTTTACTTGGATGCCTAAGAGTACTTATAAATTTAACCAATTATAATCAAAAATATTGTCAATATATTGGATGTCCATCGGGGATGCCAATTCTTATGCGATTAACAATTGTTGGACAACTTCCTGATTGGTCGTCGTCCTCAACAAATAATAATAATAATAATAATAATAATAATAACGATAACAATAATATCAATATTGAAGAAAAAGATAATGACAGTAATAATAATATGGAAGAAGATAATAACAATAATATCGAAGAAGATAATAATAATGATGATGAGATGAATGTAGAAGATTTAACTAAATTAAAAGATATAGAAATTATCAAAGAAGAGATACTTTCACATATGATTGCCTTACTTATTAATTTGGCTGAAATGGATACAAATAATCATGATGAATTTCGTAAAGTTGGTAAGGTTATCATAAATATTTATGTTGTTATAGGAAGTTCTAAAGAGATAATTAAAATAATATTTTTTTAATAATTATAATTTTTTTTATATATATATTTTTAGAACAAAATCCAAATTGTCCAGGAACGCATAAATGTCTTAGAATGTGTACTTGCTCTTCACGAGAATCAACAATTTCATGTCTCGTTTCTTTATATAATCATCAACTCGAGAAAAGTGAAAAATGCGATAATGAAACCATGTTAGCAGCCTTTATCGCTTTATTACTTGGTTTACTAATTAAAGATAATCAAGAAAACCAAATGTTATTGATTGATATCCTTTTTTTTTTTTTTGAATATCGGAATTTTATAAATTATTATATTTATCATTATTACCATTATTATTTATTATTATTATTATTATTATTATTATTTCTTTAACTTTTAAATTTAAATTTAAAATTTATTTTATTTACAGCGATTACCGAATCGATCAGTTAGTTCGTTAATTAATTTTCTTCAATTATTTCATTTTCATGAATTAATTGGTGAAGTAGCGGCAACAGGTGGAGGAGAAGAACAAATACCGACTATTAATACTACTACTACTACTTCACTCATGGATAATGATGACGATAATAATGATGGCGGCGCAGATGATAACGATAATAATAAAGAGCAAATAGTTGATGATAATATGATATTACAATCTCATCACGGTCGACGAATTAATAATAAAGAGTTATTTTTGGAAATCATAAATGTTTTAAAATCTTTAGAAATATAAAAAAAAAATTTTTTTTATCTTTATTTATTTATTACTATTTTTTTGGGGGGGGAAAAGTATTAGCGAAGTGAAATTTTTTATCATTTTTATCATTCTTATCATTTTATCATTTGTTATTTTTTTTTTATTTATCGTTATTATTTATTTTTTTAATTAAATTCAATTATATTGATATATTTACATATTGTTTACATATTACTTATTTACAAATACAAATATTTAAATATATTCAAAATAAAGTAAAATGAATTATCAAATTTAATGACATTTATATAAATTTGTCGTAAAAATTGTTTATCAGAAAAAAATATTTTAATGTTATTTATTATTTATAGAACTCATTTATGATTGTAAATAAAACTTATATAAAATATGGAAGAATACAAATCAAATATGTATGCCAATGCCATTAAAATTATTCACACAATAAAAACGCAATATACGTTGTACTCGGAAATTAATTCCGAACTCTATATATTTATCAGGAGGTCAGATTATCATTTCTCGTTATGGACATGTACATGTTTATATCAAAAAAAAATAATCATGAATTTCCGAAATTTTCTTATAAATACGGTCGATACAAACGAGTACGTACCACCTAATTTGAATGCTATCGTAGTTTGAAATAAAATAAAATAAATTTTTTTTTTTTTTACTCAATACAACATAATAATAATAAACAATGTCTACCGAGAATACTTCTCGTCATCGTTATAATTTACCTGATCTCTGTATTCGAAATATTCTTAATTTCATTAATGATGATAAAAGTGATAATAATAATAATAATAATAATAATAATAATAACAACATTTTACATACATTACGCGCTTGTACTTTAGTTGATCGTAATTGGTGTTATATCTCTACTCCATTTTTATGGTCAAATCCATTTACCATTGTTAAAAATTATGTGGAAAATGAGAAAAATCGAAAATTTGAAATTATTATTTTAGATGAAGAAGAAATCGATCAATGTAGTCAAGATGATAATAATCAAGATAAAATTAAAGATACTCTAGTCACCAAATCTGAAAAAGACATTAAAGATATCAATACTCAAGAAACCAAATCTATAGATAATAATAACTTCAGGCCTCATATAATTTTTCAAAAATTAATTACTTCTTATGTTCAAAGTTTACCTGATGATACTCTTTCCTCCCTAGAATTAAATACTCCAATTGAAAATTTTCATCGTAATCCATTATTTAATTATTCTTCTTTTATTCGTCATTTACCTATGTCTCAAATTTTTATTGCCGTACTTACATTTTGTGTTCAATCAAAATACTCTTTTTATAATTCCCCAATTTCTTTTGATAATACTCCTTTACCCCTCTGTTATCATAGTCGTGATCCTATAAGGCGTAATGCACATGTTGTCATTTGTGCTAAACCTACTCTTCTCTTAACTCACCTGATGAATCTGTTTATTAGTAATTCACCCAAGATTTTTTCTCTGGAATTAATTGGTTCCTTAAAGCCTTTGTCTTCTTTAGCTTCTAATTTAAAATATCCTCACTTCTTAGATTTATCGGATTTAAATATTTTCACATTTCCTAATTCATCAATTTGTTTTAAACATTTAAAAAATTTTCAATGTTTTGATAATATTATTACGAACGTTATAATACCTTTAAGTTTAAATAAGTTATCCACAAATATTGAAGAATTTGCAATCAAAGGAAGTCACGCGGATGATATACAATCTTATCATTTATCAAGTATTGCGGAATTAGCCAAAGTTATTTCCATTCAACAAAATTTAAAAGTTCTTTCAATTGATAACATCAATTGTGCAACGATTGTATGTGATGTTAATTGTATGAAAACTCTTTTAGAAGAAGGATTAAGTAATCCTTTGGGTAATTCGAAAGTTTTAGAGACATTAACTAAAATTGAATTTACGAGAATAACTTTTAGATCAGATAGATATTCTCCAATTAATATATTAGCCAAATGTAAAAATTTACAACATCTTATAATAAAGAGTTGTACTAATTTAAGATTCTCTAGTTCGGATGAAAGTAAATTAGAAGAATTTATTGTTTGCAACTCAAATTCAGCTTCAACTTCTACCTCAACTTCAACACCACCACCAACAACAGCAACAACAACAACATCATTATCATCACCAATAATAATTCCCTTTTCAAAACTTCAAAATTTAGAACTTGCTAATGTTTTAATTCCCATGAATTTACTTGCATTCTTTACCAGATGTTTTAAGAATACATTAAGATCATTGGTGGTTTGGTTAAAAACATTTCGAAATTACACTGACATAGTACTTTGGATTATAGAATTTAATCAATTGGAATTTATTCATATCTATTTGACCCCTCAAAAAATTAATAATTTAAATAATTTATGTGTCATATTGGAAGATTGTCAAGATTTGAAGGAAGTTATAATAGAGGATCGAAAATATTTTGAAAAGGTTCCAGAAGTATTTCGATTATTAAATTATGGTACAATTGATGCCAATGATTTTTTATGTAAAATTGTAATGATGTTGAGTAAAAATGTTGAGAGGTACATTACATTATATTATTTTTATTTTTATTTTTACTTTTATTTTTTATTCTTCTAAAATTTAAAAAAAAAAAAAAATCTATTAAATTCTTTTTTTTAGGCTTACATTTAAAATAAATTTCTCATTCACTCCTGGAACACTAGAATTCTTTATATCCAATGCAGTTTCTTTAAAATATTTGAGTTTTGAATATTCAGCAAGTCTTACAGATGAACATTTACTGATACTTCAAGAATTAAGTAACAAAACAAATATAAAAACTTTAAATATTGGATATACTCCAAATATAGATGAAGAAGTAATTAATTTAGCAAAAGAAATTATTCCTGAAATTATATATTGGAAATAAGGGAGGAATTATGGATTTTTTTGTGTAAAATTTTGAATTGTATTATTATTTTTTTTAATTCATTTTATTTTATTTATTTATTTTATTTTTTTTATTATTGATTTTTTTTTTATTATTTATTTTATTTATTTATTATATTTTTAATAAAAAGTTGAAATTTTTAAATGATACATGATTTTTAAATTATTTATTATTATTTACAGTATTTACAATAATTATCCGGTAATTACAACTAATTAATTAATTCAGTATTTACAGTTGTATTTGATTATTTACATCTCTTTCGCCTTTTCTCACTCTTTCTCACCTTTCTCACCTTTAATATAAGAAGTTTTAATAATATTACTACTTTCATTATTATTATAGAAAGGGTTAGTAGAAGTAGTACTTTCAACAGTACTCTTTGAAGGATTTTCCTCATCTATTACTCCAACTTTACTATTACTCCCTCCTTGACCTTGACCCTGACCCCAAGTGGCACTCCAAGTACTTGAATTCCCGAAACTTAATGAGGATAGACCAGTGGAAGTTAAGAATTTTTCTTTGAAATAAAAATCTTCTTCCGATGGAAGGAAACCGCAACACCAAGCGAATATACTAAGAATTAATAAGATCGTGTACAACCACATGACAAATAAGTTGAGAACTCGAATCACGCACGCAGTATGAACTTCGGGTGATGAATAAGAATAGGACGTAGGACAAAAGAAAGGAACGTCTAATTCATCCATCGTGTAATGTGTGTATGCAACTATATGTGACGATGAATTAATAAATGAAAATTAGTGATGAATTATAATTAGTGATAAACGGTGATAAAGGTGATAATTACTTGATACCACTATCATATATAATGGAACAAAGCTGTTTTATAAAGGTAAAAAAAAAAGAATTAAAAAAGTTCAATCGAGAATATATCAAAAATAACATCAAATATTGTAGTATTCGCCTCGGTATTTTACCATAATTGTTCTATTATTTTTTCACGAATCAAATCCAATGAACAACCTTTTCTGAGAATCGCTACCCATATCAAAGTGACTAAAAATATAAAAATAATTAAAAAAAAAAGAAATAACTCGAGAATCTTATTAATATTTAGCAAATTTTAAAAGCGTACTAACTAGGAAATGGAAGCGATAAAGCAAGGTATCTTTGAAAAAAAAAAAAATTTAAAAATTAATTAATTTTAGAGAAATTTCATTATGGATATATAAGAAAAAAAAGAAATAAATAACTTACATAAACTCAATAATTGGATTTTCCAATGATACTGTTGACGAATGAGTCTCGAAATAAACGATCTTTGAAAATTCTAATATCTCACAGATAATTAATTTTTTTTTTAGAGAGAGAGATGCAGCAAAAAAAAGAAAAGTAATAACTTTCACATACCCAAAATAGGGACTAAATAAATTAACGTAACCAAACCAAATCCGAATATTACTCTTGAAAACCATTTCGCACAAGTCTTACTAGATGGAGAACACATCTTTTTTAAATTGTATTTTGATAATTATAGTATTTAACTGATTATCATTAAATTATTATTTCTTTTATATGTACAATATATCTATCCTCCGGGATACAGGGATACACGGGTGGGTCTAAGAGAGCGAAAACTCGCCGCAGATCCGTTTTATGAGATATAAATATTAGAATGATAGGATAAAAGAATCTATTTGAGTAGAAGAAAGAATTGAGATTTGACGACGACGACGAGATTTAATCAAATTCGTCAATTCAATGAAATTTTCAATTGATATATTAGCTTTTTTCATTCAATGTGCGATCGATAGAGGATAGAAATGAACTCAGCCAAATTTTCAATTTTCTAGTGAAATTTTTTTCATAAAGAGAAGCCACAACAACCATTTTAACCTTTAATCATACTTATTTTGTTTACGTATTTTATCAGCAATGAAATTGATAAAAAAGAACAACATAGCCTCATCCTTCATTCATTCATAATTATTTATTATTTTTATTTAGTTAATTAGCACGTTCTATACATTGATCACGTTGCTAATTCGGAGGCCAAAACCTTGATGGATTTTTTTTTTTTTAAATTCCGATAATGGAAAACTGAACATATTTGATCAATCAGATATTTTTTTTTTGTTAATTCTCTTGATTTTATATTTATTTATTATTTTTTTAAAAAAAAAGATAAATTCTGTCGTTTGTATTTGTATTAAAGAATAATGGTTTCAACATTTTGTTGAAAATTTTGAAGAATTAAAAATCTAATGCTCATTATTCTATGATATAGTTAATAGTTTTATAAATAAAAAAGACGTAAACCTGTAATTATTTTGGACATATATTTTTGATCTCGTGGAGAAATTTGTGTAAACATTATTTACATTATTTGAAATTCGAAATTTAAACAATTCATTGCTTATTATTATTATATTACTCGAATGTAATTTTGTGAAACGGTTTATGATTAAAGAAGCCTCAAAAAGTGAGTTCGTTCTACTCAATGGATTTTTACACGTTTTAAGCCCAAAACCATTAAATCAAATATTATAAATGTTATAATAATAAATAATAAAAATAATTAAAAATATAAAAATATAAAATAAATATGCTATTGTTAATTTTAGAGAAAATACAAAAAAAAATGTTATAAAATAATAGAATTGATAATTTCATTTAATTAATTGTATTAAACGAATATAATACTCGCTTATCAGGAACTTCAAAATCCAATTGTTTCGTATCTAAAATAACAATGCAAATATTTTTTTAATAAAAACGTTCGTCATTTATTGCTAAAAAATATTTGGATATTGCTTCAAATTTCTTTTGTTTCTGAGTCTACTTGTGTTTATAGCTTCAGGATGAATAAAATTCTTGTTTGATTCATCTGCTGCTTCAACTTGTTTTCTCGTTTCATCAACATTATATATATTAGAATACTATTTTTCAAGTTGAGATTATAATTCTTCAGCAGTTGGAAGATTAGGAGGTTCAAAATTCCAGCATTTACCATTATTACTTTGAGTAATGGAATTTCACAGGGTTAAACCCATTGCAAATGTTCATTACAAGATTTGCATCATACGAAATATTATAGTGGATAATTACATAGTCCAAAAGAATAATTTTCAGTGCATTCTCCTCTACTCAATGTCATTTCCGTAACTGGTTTGTACGTTCTAAAATCATTAAGCTAAAAAAATCTTTACGCATTACAATAGTTGATAAAATACAATTCTTTAAACTGATTATTCTATTTCAACCAAGTTCACGTAGCTTTGAAATGATTTTTTTCGACTTTTTTGTTCTAATCCCTTATCATAGCATTTGCCACGATTGCACTGTTCGTAATTATCATCCGTTTTCAACTGATCGTAAGGAACTTCGAAACGATTTTAATCACATAATTATCACCTTTTTCAGTTCCGCATTTCAACTTATTTTTTCGTTTACGTGGATATTCCGTTTAACAGAATAAAGAAATTTAATTATATACTTGAAGTGTTTGTTAGACAAAGTGACAAGCTAAATAGATTAAATATCTTAAAAAAAAATGTTATATTTTTTGAACTAAAATTATGTATTAAATTTCAAATTAAATCTCATTTTCTGAGTATATCTGAGTATATCACATTTTCTGATGATATCATTCATGTAACGTTCTCATTCCAGAATTTCGATTATGTATTATTAATGAATGGTACAAATAGTACGTAACATTACACAATTTACAAAATACAAAAGCATATTTCAATTGCTAAATGTTACATCGGTTGAAATAAAAGAAATAAGAGAGTTCTGAAAGAATATATCATTGAAACAATTTATATTTATTCGAGGCAAGCACTTATCTGATAAACAAAAGCATAAATAAATATAAATGACTGACGTACAAATATTTTTATAGGCAATAAAATGTATTGAATTTTGACATAAATATTTATTTTTCTATTGTTTTATCGTATAATCTAAATTCTAAAGTCTTTAAAATTTATATTTCATTTAAACTTTTATAAAATATATAAAGTTTTAAAGCTCTGTTTTTATAGACAACTTGAGTATAATTTTTTCAATAGAAATGGAAATTCAAACAAAAAAAGATGAAGAAAAAAAATCATTCCTGTGGTACTTGAAATCGGCTGAGGGGGGAAATAGTGACGGAAAGAATAATCTTGGATATCATTACGAATGTGGGATTGGAACAGCAAAAGATAAAGAGAAAGCATTTCAATGGTATTTGAAATCAGCGGAAGAGGGAGATATTATAGGACAATATAATCTCGGACGTTGTTATCAACAAGGGATTGGAACCACAAAAGATGAAGAGAAAGCATTTCAATGGTATTTGAAATCAGCTGAAGGAGAAAATAATGACGGACAGAATAATCTTGGATATTGTTATGATAATGGGATGGGAACCATAAAAGATGAAGTGAAAGCATTTCAGTGGTATCTAAAATCAGCTGAAGGGGGAAATCATTCGGGACAATACAATCTTGGCTTTTGTTATTCAAATGGGATTGGAACCAAAATAGATGAAAAGAAAGCATTTCAATGGTACATGAGATCAGCCGAAGGAGGACATTGTTCAGGACAATGCAATCTTGCCCTATGTTATTCAAATGGAATTGGAACCATAAAAGATGAAAAGAAAGCATTTCATTGGTACCTGAAATCGGCTGAAGGGGAGGATCATAAAGGACAATACAATCTTGCAGTATGTTATTCAAATGGGATCGGAACTACAAAAGATGAAGAGAAAGCATTTCAGTGGTACCTCAAATCAGCTGAGGCTGGAAATAGTGACGGACAGAATAATCTTGGGTATTGTTATGAAAATGGGATTGGAACACCAAAAGATGAGGAGAAAGCATTTCAATGGTATTTGAAATCAGCTGAAGGTGGAAATAGTGATGGGCAAACTAATATTGGGTATTGTTATGAAAATGGGATTGGAACAACAAAAGATGAAAGGAAAGCATTTCAGTGGTACATGAAATCAGCTGAAGGGGGAAATATCATTGCACAATATAATCTTGGATATTGTTATCAACATGGGATTGGAACAACAAAAAATGAAAAGAAAGCATTTCAATGGTATTTAAAATCAGCTGAAGGTGGAAATAGTGATGGGCAAACTAATCTTGGACATTGTTATCAACATGGAATTGGAACAACAGAAGATAAAAAGAAAGCATTTCATTGGTACTTGAATTCAGCTGAAGGGGGAAATATCACCGCGCAATATAATCTTGGAGATTGTTGTGAAAATGGGATTGGAACAACAAAAGATAAAAAGAAAGCATTTCAGTGGTACTTGAAATCAGCTGAAGGTGGAAATCATTCGGGACAATACAATCTTGGCTTTTGTTATTACCGTGGAATTGGAACCACAAAAGATGAAAAGAAAGCATTTCATTGGTACTTGAAATCAGCTGAAGGTGGAAATATTACTGGACAGAATAGTCTTGGTTATTGTTATTACCGTGGAATTGGAACCACAAAAGATGAAAAGAAAGCATTTCAGTGGTATTTGAAATCAGCTGAAAGGGGAAGCCTCACTGCACAATGTAATCTTGGATATTGTTATCGTCATGGGATTGGAACAATGAAAAGTGAAAAGAAAGCATTTCAATGGTATTTGAAATCAGCTGAAGGTGGAAATATCTCTGCGCAATATAATCTTGGAGATTGTTATGAAAATGGAATTGGAACAACAAAAAATGAAAAGAAAGCATTTCAGTGG